CGGATACTAATTGTCACGTGAGCGAAACTGCTGAAGCATACATCGTTCTGCCGCATACATTAATCCTTAAATGCATTTTTGTCTCTTTAATATAGAATTGATAATTTTTAAATTAATTTTTAACTGACATATATATATATATATATATATATATATATATATAATATATATAACAGATTAAACTTTATTAACTAATTAAAATGGAAACGTAAACGCTTTATTATGGTCTTACACGACGGTGCATTTGGAATGGTACTGAAAAATTATATTCAAATATAGTTTTTATTATTATTATTGATATCGCGAATTTTTGCAATACATTTAAGAATTAAAGTTTTAGAATATACGAATATATTTAGCTTTCAACTGATATCCGATAACAATTTGATGTAACTGTAACGATGAAAAGATATTTTCAGATATTATTAAGCTTCGTTAAATTTGTTTCTCAATGGAAAATTAGATTGATATAATTAAATAAACATACAAGAGAGAGAAGTGACCTACATAACATTTTCTTGCAGCTTTAATATTCTGAATAATAATAGCAAATAATACGATCGTTGCGATCATGTGCTCAGATATAAATATTGATTAGTAAAGATTAATAATGTCAAATACTGCGGTTTAATGAAATATTCGATATAGATTGAATGCTGCATATGACGCAAGTACGCCATATGAGAAGCCATATTCAAGTTAATATTATAAACCATGCACCAGTTGATGTATGAAATGAAACTTTCAGACATTTCCGATACTGTCACTTTTCATTCGCTAATTAACTGATGCAATTGGTCATTTAAACGTATATGTAGAAATGTATATGTGGAAATTGATAATATATACATACATTCAAATATTATTCTGCTACAACAAAATTTTCTCAAATATAATATTACACAGAAAAATCAGTAGCAATCATAAAAAAATATCTTATATCAAATAGTACATGAAAAAAAATTAGCCATCATAGCTAAATTTTAACTGTTCCTATATTGCATTGCCTGAAATTTAGTTATTATGTTTAAATTTTAGCTATGGTAATTAATATTTTTTAGCTATAGTTTAACGGAGAATTCTACAGCTAAAAAATATTAGCTATCATAGCTAATACTTAGACATGATAACTAAATCTCATGTGTAATATAAAAACAGCTAAAATTTAGCTATCTCCGTGTATCTATTAGTTATTAAATTATTTATAAATCTGTACAGTTTATTTATATATATTTTTTATAAAATATTCCTTATATACATATTCGTATATACGTAATTTTTAGAAAATATATTTTAAAAATATAAGTAGATATAGGATTAAAATCCACCAGCAAATTATTATGCATTTCAAAATTAATAATCACCATATTATTTTTTTTTTGTTCAAATAAGAGTAAACATTCTCTTTTTTTAGTAAGCGACATTACCATTGAAATATCAGCATAGCAGCTGCACCAATGCAAAAATGCAGCTTTATGCCGAATAAAAAGAAACCCAATGCGCATCGTCGAGCTTTTTTTCATCTCACCTAACGGGATTACTGATGCATTGCAGTTATTGAAAAGGCTTACTTCAAATAGCAAGAAAATGATAGATGCGCGAATGAAAAAATCCTCAACCGTTTAAATTTTTTCTCATATCCATTGAATGAGAAGAAAACGTTCTTTTCTCATTACGCGAATAAAGGAGTTCTTTATCAATAAATTTGTGATAAAAAATAATATAATTTATTGCAATATTGCATTTTCTTCGAAATTTGAGATAATCAATTCAATATTAATGTATAAATATGTCAAGACACGTTTTGTTATAAATACGTCTTAATTATATTTTTGATAAAAGAGAGTACGATATAGAATTTTGTATGCAAAATTGTCTCAAATATTCAAAAATTTATAATATATAATATCGTAAAGTTTGTAATATCGATATTAATTCCAATAGAAATATAATTAAAAGAAATAATATTGTTGTATCATTTATTATATGTGTATATACGTAAATATAATGAAAATATGAGAAGTTAAATAAAAAAATTTATTGAAAATAATTTCGAGAATCTTTGACAAAAAAGGGGAAAAATGTTTAAACGTTTTTATCATTATCGAAGATGTCGAGCGGTTTTACTTTTAAAAGGAAATAAATTAAAATATTTCGAAAAACAATAAATGTCAAAAGTAATATGTTACGTTTAACGCTAATAAATATCCAATTATATTATGGATAAAACTTGTCATGATTTTTTTACGGCTACAATCTCTTCGGGTAGGTACGTTATCTACCTAATTATTCAAAAGATAATGTCTGCATGAGAGGCATCCTCAAAGTTCTATTTAACCGTATCATCAAACTTGATCGGGCACTTTAGTTGATTTCCTATAGCAATGCATCGAGACCGCGGTCTTACATCAATTCGTAATGCCTACCTTTAGTCGCCGAGAGCGTCGAATTAATGGTCCTCTCCAAGAAATTCGGACACTCGGCTTGTCTCCAAAATGCAGTCGCGCACCTGCCATCCTGAATTACACCTTACCTTGACGTTGCCACACGATGTAATCTTGTAATAATGCAAATTCTTTTTGCATACATATCGCTTTCGTAATGCCGACAGATTGCGGCCAACGAAGCTTCTTAGTAAACGCAGATTATGACGTTTATTCTTATCAATTATTTGAAATAATGTATCGACATGATTAGAAAATCATTAGAGTGTCGAGAGAAAATTTGATTTGTGTTCGCACCAAAAAATTCAAAATAAAAGCAGAACATCTTATAATGGAACGTCGATGAAATATGTATTGAATAAATATTGAGAAAATATATTGAGTTAATTATACTCACAATCAGTATATTGCAAATTGAATGTTCGTGTAATTCTGATATATTGCGTTAATTATACTCAGCACACTGCATATTGAATGTTCGTGTAATTCAGATTTATTATAGATATTAAAATATTGTATTAAATAATAATAGAAATATTATAAATATTAAGATACTAGAATCGGTGCGAAAATAATACAATCAATCAATTTTATTAAGCGGTCGCTGACCGTCAATATTGCAAAATCGTAACCAAATTCTATCGTCAAGAAGAAAATAGATATTTAAAAAATATATAATAAATAACTCATTATTATAAGCACAAATAAATTATATGTCAACTCATTTAATATGTCAATATTTATTTTTCACATTACAGCAATTCATTGGGAGAATAAATGCGAGAGTAAATATGTTTTAAAAATAATATTCCAAAGTAATGTAAAAACATACATATTATATGTACATATGTATTTACATTATTTTGCAATATTATTTTCAAAACAAAAATATTCATTTAAATTAAACAAAATTCTTGTTAAATGAAACTTTATGATATTTGAATAAGCTTTATTTAATTTTAAATTTTAATTTATAATTAATATATCTTTCTTTAATTTATAAAAATAGGACAATAAAACAATACGATTCTAAAGCAGAAAGAAGATCCATAATATGTAAAATTTTGAAGATCTAAACAGGTCGAATGTACCTAGATAAGTAGTCGAGTGGGAAAAGTGTTGTTTTATAATTTCATCCGCGCATCTCGCATAATCCAACATTATAACGCGAGAATAAAAAATTACATTTCGTTAAAAATTTTACAATCCCTCCTCCCACTCTTTCTCTTCTCTCGTTAATGAGCTTACCGTCTTTCGTGCTGGGCGGCTTACAGTATTTATCTATGTTATCTATGTTATATATAATAAACTCTCTGTATAGATATATGTATATCAGTGAAATATTCCCCAACGCTTGCTACGTGCTTGATAATTCCCGTTGAGTATAACACGATCGTGCGGTGTACTCTTGTGTTCATTAGCGAAACGTGGGAGGGAAAATTCATTTTTCGCGTTGCAATGTCCGCTTGTTGATGGTTGCTGGAACGAGTTTTTACATCGCGCCAGCTTTGAGCTAGCAAATAACGAAAGCTATGTTCACTCCGCTATACGTGTAATAATAATATAATTTAATGGCTAAGCCTCATCAAATCGTGAGATTTGTACGCTTACTATGCGAACAATTGTCATATTATTTAAAGACAATTCAAATTTTTTTGACGATAGAATTTGGCAATTTTCGTTCACTAAGAAACTTCCATACTGCGAATATTATACATATATTACCTGCACGGAACATGGCGTTATTATTAATTATTGATATCTGTGCGTATTAAATCAGTTATCAAAAATATCCAAATTTTATATCTCAAAAAGATCGCATCTAAAAAAAAGAATTACTTTTAATCGTATAATTTTCGCAAAAAAAAAAAACAAAAAAAAAAAAAAAGAATGTTAAAATTTCAATTAACAAAGTAGCCTCCATCAGATTTCTGGCGCGCGAGCAAGATGCGCGCGAGCACGACTAAATAAAGCTCGCAATGTCACAAAAATGTAAAAATGTAAAAATCTCTTCTTCTTCTGCTCCGCATCAATTCCATTCAGAGTTTGCAACACGAAATTGGTTTCGCTGACAAGCGCTCCAAACTAAAAGCGGTCGACGGTACCCGAAAATTACATTTTATCCGGTCAAAGCAAACTTCCTCAACAATTCCCGCGGCGCTGGGTGAAGGTGGGATGAAAGAGGGCGCGAAACCGCACGAACTCAAAGTGCCACCGACCGGAAGATAAAAGAACACAACACGAGGGGCGTAAGATCGCGGGGCATCGTTTTGTATGTTTGCGGGAGAAAGATAGAAAGCGAGGGAAAACGAACTCGCCGAGAGAAGACGAAAGTATAAGAAGTCACGTGTGCATCACGCGTCAGCTCCTTCGTCGGGATTGCAAAGTTCTCCGCGGGAGAAAACTCATCCGAAACTATTTGCTCCGGGTACGCCCGCGGAAAGTATATCTAAGAGAGGCTACGTCTTTTTATATCGCCGAGTTCCGTGCAGGATTACTCTCCTTTTATTACTACGGATCAAAGAGAAGGTTGGACGATCGTCTTTCTACTTACTTACCTGGCGAGGAAATTGCCGTCGACGTAACGACCTGCAACAGAAAGAACAGGTCATCATTACAAAGAGAAATGTAAATCGTAGAACTCGCGAGTTCTCTTTCAAGGGAAAGAGAAAAAAAAATTAGAGATTAATAGGACATTTATTATCTGAAGACTATATGAATATTACATCGATACTCAATCTCGTATAACTCAGTCTACAACTAATAGATGAAAACGAATCGACTTTGTTATGCAATGCGATCTCCTTTCAACAAATTGCCGGAGTTCTCCATCTCGATGAAACTATATAAAAATGTATTTCTTAATTTTTCATAATAGACCTCTTAGATATGCAATTCTCACGAGACTGAGACCTCCGTGAAAGAAAGATTCGAATAAAGAATCCTTTATCTTTTTTTTTTTTTGAATACCACATGCGTGCGATTATCCTGAAAGAGATACACCGTGTACTGAAAGAAAACCGCGCGTTTCCTTAGGCGGACAAGCCGCAGATGTATATACAATATACGCGTTCGCACGATTCGGCTGCTCGCTCGCCGGCGAATAAATTACGCGGGCATTTTATTCGCGTCCTTACGCAAATGGAATGCACAAAGGCAGCGTGGAGACGCGGCGCGGTCTGGAATGGCGCAAAGCGACCGGATGCGCCGCGAAAAGAAGCGCATCCCTCCGTTCTCGAGGAGACGCACATATGGACGGTTTTAACTCATTTCGCGCTACCGTCTGTGCGATTCTCATTCGTCGTGCGCGGTCCCATTCAAACCAGATCGCGGTGGAACGTATAGGGTACAATTTACGTACCAAGATGCTCCACGGGATTCACTCGAGATATTTCGATCATTCGAAAAAACCTGAATTTGATGTTTATAAAACGCTATATTTATATATAATTTATATGAACTTGTATACATTCCTTCCATATTAAAAATTATTAAAATATATGCTGATAAAAAAATATATATGCTGTTATTTAAATGTAAATATTGTATGAGATATATTACACACATTTTTATTTTATTCAAATCACAAGTATATCCGGAAAATTTTTAAATTATTTTTCTCTTGGCAAAAGTATCGATGAATCTAATAATTATAAACTTTCAATTTTTTTTATTTTTTATCTTGAATATAAAATATTTGCTTTCCATTGTTTCGATGTTGGCAATATTTGTACATGGTAAAAATACAATGCAAGTAATATTTATCGTTACTACGATAATACGATGCAACAAAAAATATGGCAGTTGATATAAAATATAGTTCCTATTTACTATCCCCGCACCTCAGATTACATATCACTTGATATCTCACTTAGCTCGGTTCTGACACACGTTCATTTATACGCGGCAATTTCATGACGACGAGAATGGGAACATTTACGAGCGAGCTTGTTACAATTGCAACGTGCACGCGTCAAAAAATACGATTGTGTTAAAATCTATAGGTTTCTTAATCACTTTATATGGATTGAAAGTGACGTAAATTCGAAAAAACCACGATTCTGTACCAAATTTGCAGCGAATGATATATTTAAATCAACATAATACGCTATTAATGAGTTCATATATATTAATAAAATGTAGGAAGAGGCACGCTTTTTCATGATTAAATTCTATTATAATTATTAAAATTTTTAATTAAAATAAATTATTAATTATTTGTTAAATATATACCATGTATGTATGTGTGTATATTTTTGTATGTGTGCATGTATGTCTTTTTTTTCTCTATTTAATGCGTTCCTAATAATCTTACATTATATTCAGATGTGTATTGCATTCTGCATTCATATTTTACTCATTCTATATTTTAACAATTCAAGTTTCAATGCAATCGCGTATTGAAATTCACAATTCACCATTCTACGCAAAGTTTCATTGCTAAAGCAGGAAGCAGGGAGATATCGGGACGTGTTATTTCACTTGGCGATAATATAATCGAGTCGGGAATGGTTTCATGTCAATCGCAGACTATAGACTTTATCAATCAATGGCATTCACTCGATAATACATGACGACTGTTGACATAGTTCTATCAATTGAATCTTAATTAATAATATTAAATAACAAAAATTATCAATTTCTCATGTTATTAATATTTATATGTATATTTAAAATAATATAAACAATTATTTGCAAAGTAGTTAAAGCTGTGCGTACAGTTTCTTTTACAGAAAAGCTGTCCCCCAAATATACGGGACTCCAATTTCGTAAGTGACATAAATGCAGAGTCGCTCTTAACACGAGTGCCGTGTCTGCTCGACTAATTGCGTCAAAAGGAACGAAAGCGAACGACATTAAGCACACAGACAGCCGCCGGTCCCGCTTCTCTCAATGAATGCGACCGTCTTCTTCTCGCCGTCACGGCTTCATGTTTCTTCTCCCCATTGAAGCTAGCGCAGATGACGCGAACAGCTCTCGAAGATGTGTACCACGTGACGACAAGATTTCCACCGAACTCCTATATTTAGTCGAGCAGCGGCGCTTTTTACATGTCAAGCAACCTCGACGGTTGTACCACGAGACTACAGAGCGAAGACACTAATTTAGAGGCGTGTCGGCACTTAGAATGCATCGAACGGGTACCGGCGACGTCATCATTAGAGCGGCTGCTTCTTTCGATCTTCATTACGTTGGCCTCACATCAGACTCTTATAAAGAGTCTTGAGTGAACAATTTATTTTTTATTTATTTTTGCTTAAAAATGCCAACTTTTCTTAATTATCCTCTACTATAGATCGCGTATAAATATTTTGTTATATTACACAGAGAGAATTTTCTCTTAGAATTTACGCTGAAAATCATGGCAATCATGAATAATAATATATTTATGTAAGAATAATAATATCTACCACAATAAAATATAAAATATGTTCGATGAATTTTACTATGTACCTAATAATATTTTTTATTGTGATAAATATTAATCAGAAAAATTCTTATAAAATTCTTCCATTGTCAATGATTACCATGATTTTCAGGGTAAATCCTAAGAGAAAATTCTTTCCGTGTATTAATCTACGTAAATTATTTATAAGACCTGACTCAAATATTCTATAGATGGATCGTTGTAAAAAAAATACCTTGGCGATTTATTTTTTACTTCTAGATAGGCAAAAAGAATATTTATTTTTTCTTAAAACTGGGAACTTTTCTCAATCGCAGTTGATGAGTTTTCGACAATTCTGACAATAGTAGGACTCGACGAGCTCCAAGTGTGAGAGCAGCTTTATGGGTTCGGTATATCGGAAACAGAAGGAGTGCGGCGAGAGTAGTTGCCGTGGTGTCTCCTGTCTCCGAGTGACACCACACGAGATACGGCGCTTATGTTAATGCGAGGGGCATACCGTGTAGAACGAGAAGGACTGACACACAATGCTCGGCGATAGCGGCGCGAGTCCGGCTGGCCATTAATAACGAACGGTACGAACTCAATGAATCACGGTTGCGTGCACCATTATAATGTAAATACTCAACTCGCGACTTAGCCTTTGCACGTCCTGTTCTGCGTCAGTTGTTTGCGGGAACGGACATTTCGGCAAACCGGAAACGGTATCGCGAGCGTGTCGTCGGATCGAGCTGACTCTCTACATCCGAAGTGAATACTCGAGATTTCCGATAAGGGGTTAAGTTTCCGCGCGAAAAGTGTTCGATCTGATTCTAATTGCGAACGTCGTTGATGTTACGCGTTGCTAATGGAAGGCTTCCGTCAAAGCCTCTTGGAGCAAACAGTATCGGTATCAAGCAGGGAATCGATATCTTCCTCTAAGACACCCGACAGCGTTGATGAAACATTAGTCTGAACTGCATCTAGCTAGATTATACCTTAAGGCACAATGATTGCTAATGAATCTTATAAGGATTCTCTGAAAAACCTTGTCAATGAAGACGAATTTTTAATACGATCGATCAGATAAATAGTAGTAAAAAAATTATTTTAAATAAATATTATAAGTTACATTATAATCAATTAATTCGTCGAACTTGAAAATCAAAGAACATGATAATTTTAGTACATCCTGATATTTTTTTTTAATTTTATTTATATTTTTAGAATTTTTTAGAATAAATTTCGATTTAGTTACACCTGTAAACAGAACAGAATTACTTCTCAGCAAAATAATTTCCGCGTCTCACGCTCTGCAAGCCAGCGACGTTAAATACGAAATGAGACTTCAACGGGAATGATTCAACAACCTTATTACCACATAATATCTTGCCTTCCAAGACTCACGCGTTAACTCAGTATTGCGAGTGCGCATAATGCACTCTGTCTCTTTCTTCCTTCCAACGAGAAGCAAAGACGCAAATTCGGTATGCAGTCTACTGTGTTATAGCATTATCGTGCCGCTTCAACTTGCTCCGCGTTATAATCATCGTCTTACGGGCGCAATAATTTAAACGACGCGTCTCTCCGTGTACGCGCGAACTTGATATTCTCTATGTTTACCGATGCTCCTTGTTAAAGAGTTTTCTTTCCGTGTTCGGTGGATTAAGATTAGCGTAAGAGAAATCGTCTCACGGCATATCATACATTCCTCGAGGATATATGCGGCACGCTATTTTTCCACCATAAAGATTGCATCTATCAAAGTAAATATGCACGCGTCTAACCGCGCGCAACTGCACTTTGCAATTTGACGTCCAATATGTCAGATGTATTATGAATTAATTATTGAATCTAGCACGTACACGTTGCAGAAAAAATGCACGAAATGCGCACTAGATTTCGTTTACTTTTTAATATCGAATATATAGTACACACGTATAATTTTATAAAATAGAATTAATTTATATGTAATATTAATATAATATTAAAAGGTATATAAATTTCATATATCATATAAATATATTAAAAATATAATTCTACGAAAGATAAAGATAATTATCGAATAATAATTAGAATTAATGTTAAGCAAACTTGATTTTAATAACAAACTCATTTAAGATTGCAAGCCAGAAAAATCTGCAATAATTATAAGTCAAGCATTATATGTATATGTATCTTTGCCTTTCTTTAAAATCTCGAT